TTCATCAGCAATTAGGTAGTACCTGAAGCTGTAGAACCARGATTTCACAGAGCAAGTACGTGTAAAATGAGAAGATTTAATGACAAACCATGGGAAATAAAACTTCCAGGGAACATGAAGAAAAAGAAGAATGAAAGCAAAAAAAAAAAAAGAGTCTAGGAAAGTTCAAGCTTGGAAAAACCAAGGAGAAGGGAATGGTTAAAATATTGCAGAGAGATGAGGTAGGAGGAGGAGACCAAAGAGATGTTAGATTTAGAATAAGGAAGTCATTAATGGATTTGCCAAAATAAATTTTAGAAGCATGATAGATAGTTCAGGTTATATAGTGGGTTAAGAAATAATTGGGGGCTGGGGATGTGGCTCAAGCGGTAGCGTGCTCGCCTGGCATGCGTGAGGCCCGGGTTCGATCCTCAGCACCACATACCAACAAAGATGTTGTGTCTGCCGAGAACTAAAAAATAAATATTAAAAATTCTTTCTCTCTCTCTCTCTCTCTCTCTCTCTCTCTCTCTCTCTCTCTCTCTCAAAAAAAAAAAAAAGAAATAATTGGATAAAATTTAACTAACAAATGGATCAGTGTCCACGGTGTACTAAAACATAGAAATGAGTGAGAAATGAAAATTAAGACACCATTAAGATACCATTTTATACTGATGAGATTGGCAGATTAATAATACCAAATGTTTGCATAGATATGAATCCATAGAAACGTATTGTCAGTGGTAGCATGAATTGGTAAAGCTTTGAAAAGTAATGTTGGTATCATCTTGTAAAGTTCAATATTAATAGACCTCTGAGTCTTAGCAGTTTTGGTAGTGGGAGGCTTGCAGGGAAATTCTGCACATGTGCACGAGAGGCGCATAGGTGTCTGTGGCAACATGGAAGAAGGAGGAAAGCAATTCAGAAGTCTGTCAGATAAAATTAGTAAGCAAATTGTGATACAGTCACAAATTGGTTTATTCTCAATATAAGAAATTACAGGTGTATTTAATAGCAGAAACAATAGTAATAAAAAAGTGAGACACAGCAATAAGAGACCATATTTTTAAAAAWTTATTTTTTAAATGTTTATAAATTACTTAGAATATACCATTTTCTGACTATACAAATATTCAATTTTAATCACATATAAAATGATTTTTTTTAATTCAAAGATAAGCAAATGTAAATTGTATATCATGGGGGGATACAGGCTTGTGTTGGGGCAAAGGGGAATCTTGAGAATAGTGGTAACTTTTGGAAGGAAGGAGCATATAGGTAGATGGAACAGTACTGATAATATTCTGGTTCCTTTTTTATAAATCCATATTTTATTTAAACACATCAATTTAGAATAAACACTTGTTTTATTTTTGGTACCCGGTATTAAAGTCAGGGGCACACGACCACTGGGCCACATCCCCAGCCCTATCTTGTATTTTATTTAGAGACAGGGTCTCACTGAATTGCTTAGCTCCTCGCTATTTGCTGAGGCTGGCTTTGAACTCATGATCCTCTTGCCTCAGCTTCCTGCACCACTAGGATTACAGGCATGTGCCATCACGCCCAGGTAAACACTTTTGAAATAATCCTCACGTGCAGCAGTGGCTAGTATCATCTGGATTTAGTGAAGAATGGTGAGACTTGGCCCATTAAGTGCCCTTCTACCTCGAAGCTGCCTCGGATGTCATCAGTAGGGAATGGTGTGTCTGTGTGTGTGTGTGTGTGTGTGTGTGTGTGTTGCTACTGGGGATTGAACCCAGGGGCACTTTGCCACTGAGCTACATCACCAGCCCATTTTAACTTTTTATTTTGAAACAGGGTCTTACTAAGTTGCTGAGGGCCTTGCTAAATTGTTGAGGCTGGCCTCAAACTTGGATCCTCCTGGTGTGAATGACCTTTTTTTGCATAGAACTTTTGTGAATAAAACTTGGCTTTAATTTGTTTCTTGTTACTTTTAATGTATTATTATTACTACTACTACTACTACTACTACTGAGGATTAAACCCACGGGTACTTGAACCACTGAGCCACATCTCCAGCCTTTGTTTATATATATATATTTTTTTTWAWTTTTTTAGATGCTGATGTACCTTTATGTTATTCATTATTTATATGTGGTACTGAGAATCAAACCCATTGCTTCACACATGCCAGTCTAGCTCTCTACCACTGAGCCACAACTCCAGCCCCTCTTTTTTATATTTTATTTAAGATGATCTCGCTGAGTTGCTAAGTGCCTCACTACATTTCTGAGGCTGGCTTTGAACTCAAGATCCTCCTGCCTCAGCCTCCCAAGCTACTGGGATTACAGAGGCCACTGCTCCCAGCCACTTTTAATGTATTTTTTACTGCTATTACTGAGGTACATGTGCTAACATCCTATGTTATTTCCTTAAGGAACATTTTCGCTCTCCTTAGGGATGCTATGATTCTTAAATTGTAGTCTTTGACAAACATTAATGAATTGTTTTAAAGATAAATTCATGATTCTCTCACAAATGCCAAATCAATATGTGTCAAAAAATTTTAAGTCATTAAATTTATAAGGGAATCAGGAAGATGAAACCATTTCAATGGATGCTTCAAAGTTAATAGCACATGTAAAAATTAGGAATGCTGAAATGAATTAACAAATAGTTGCAGAATTGGTCAGTATCCAAGGACATAATTCATTGGCATTGTTTGGGTCAAGAATTTGTATTATTACTAAAAAAAAAAAAAAAAAAAAAAAAGAAAGAAAACAATTTGTATTATTACTGGGCTTCAGCAACATGTAGGGCCAAAATGATGCACTGAACATAAGGATACTTAGTAATCTTTTTTGCCCATTTCAAAGTTTTTCACAATTTTTTCTGACCCATGTAAACTTTATGCATCAAATATTACATTAAAATAGAAAATAAAATAAGTATGCTGTTCTGTGTTTCTCTTTCAAGATGTTTGTTGAGGGGATATGGGAAGGTTCCTTTCTTGAGGATGGGACCAGATTTGAAGGAAGGGTTGCTTTGATTTTTGTTTTCTTAAATAGGAGAGAACTATGTATGTGTTGGCTCTGGGAAAGGAGGCAGATTGGAGCAACTAAGAGCAGAGAGAGCAGTGGTATTTGGAAGGAGACAATAGTTATTCACATTCACATTCAAAATCTCAGTTCATATTTAAAAAGAAGACAAGGGGATTCTTCTCTGAGATTGGAGGAAGTCAGAAAGATCCAGGAAGTAGGTCATTTGAAGACATAGGGGAAAATAGTATTTCCAGGAGACTTAAAACATTCTATAAAGAGTTACTCAGGGAAGATGAATGGTGCAAAGATGCCAACCTGTTACCTTGTATTAAATACCACCTGTAGTTAAAACATTAACCAGGATTTTCTGAGAGTGCAAGATAGAGCAACTGGAGCTGGAGCTGGGTCTGGGGTTGGGCTCAGTGGCAGGGCGCTTGCTTAGCATCTGTGAGGCACTGGGTTCAGTCCTTAGCACCACAAAAAAATGAAACAAATAAAGGCATGCTGTTCATCTACTACTACAAAAATTAAAAAGAGCAACTGCCATAAACAAGTTTAAATATTCAACAGATGAGAAAATTTAAACAACTGAAGAGATTATGTAGTCATAAAAGTTATTAAAAAATAGTATAAATAATGCATAAGTTTTTAATAGAGTGCAATTGTTTTTTAATACTGGGGATTGAACCTATGGATATTCTACTACTGAGCTATATCCCCATCCCTTGTATTTTTTGAGATCTGGTCTTGCTAAGTTGCCTATGCTGGCCATGAACTTGGAATCCTCCTACCTCACTCTACTGAGCAATGGGATTCATAGGCATGGACCTTCTGCACCCAGTTTAGTATGTGTTTTTTTTTTTTTGTTGTTGTTGTTGTTGTTGTTGTTTTAATCTAGGCTGCAAGTGAAACTTCTGAGATCTAACTCTGTCACTAACAGGTTGTGTGACATTAGTCATATCCTTTTAATAACTGTGTTTTTCGGGCTCTTCATCTATAAAAACTAGACAGATTCTAAATATTTCTTGAAATGTGTGAGAAAACTAGAGAATAGTTGGATATGTAAGATTTTGAATGGGCAGAGATGTGTCTAGAAAACACCCGAGGTGGGGGAAAAAACAGGGCTTATATAGAGGGCATTAGGTTTTGAAAGTTTGGTTGCATTTTCCCTGAAAATTTATGAAAGTGAAATAGTAAGGTAAAAGTTAGGGAAGTATATATTTTTTTCTCTTCAGCTATAGTTGTACATTCTACATGTGCATGGTAAACTCTTAGGAAATATTTTTAATGAGTGACCTTCCATGTTTGGGACTAATGAAACCAAATTATTTTGGGATATGTATTATTTTTATTGGTACAGAGAACATGGAAAGGTGGGAAAGCTGATTTGTATTTGCATAAACACTTTCAGAAATCAAAATGTCAATCTTTGAAACTTAAGATGTTTCTACCTGATGGGGACAATTTTCAAGGTGGTTAAGACCTGGATAATGGTATATCAATTTAAGGTAGGAGTAAAAGACTGATATTAAATAACTTCCCTATGCAAAGCACCAACCAGGCTGGCCAAGGTAACTTCTTCAGACCATAAGGAAACTTCAAAAATAGGTAATGGTTGTGTAAATGTAAAAACTGAGGTTCGGACATTGAAATGACTTTTTCCTATTTAAGAAAACCATTTCTCTCCTGTTTAAGAAAACTTAGTCATTGGCAGAGCCTGTTCAGGAGCTCAACTTCTTTCCATTAAGTCCCATCCATGCTGGAGTTTTTAGTTGCAACTTTAAACCATACATAAAAAAGGTATCATAGGAAGACGTTTACAAAGAACATATTATATGCATGTCTGACTCCAACTTTATGGACATACAAGTCCCAGGTGGTCCCATTGTTGTTATGTTAATAACAGTATATTCTAAGTATGGCATATATTGAAATCTGTAAACTAGCTTCTTCCCTCCCTCACTCTGTTATGCTTTTCCACGCTAGCATATGAATTTATCCAAAATTTTGTTTCAGGTATCTATTTGTCAGATTTAACATACATTGATTCGGCATACCCATCAACTGGCAGCATTCTAGAAAATGAGCAAAGATCAAATTTAATGAATAACATCCTTCGAATAATTTCTGATTTACAGCAGTCCTGTGAATATGGTAAGTTTCTGGGGAACAGTTCTGTCTAAGCCCTTACTGTGCTGTGATTTCATTGATTCACTGACACATTGATGACCACTTCTCATTCAGCAGGGAGCATCAATTTCTCATCTCCACTATAACATAAAGGAAAATCAGAGTTCTTTTGTTTGTCCATTTACTATGTAACTACTTCCATATTCACCCCGGCATTGAACCCAGGGATTCCTTACAAATGAGCTATTCCCCCTGTCCTTTTTAAGATTGTTCTTAAAGAATTGGAGAATTTAGTGTTTGATCTTTCATTTTTTTAAATCTTTTTGCTTTTCTGCTAACAAAGCACAGGGGCAATAAGTAATATTACCACTTCACAGTTATTCTAGCCCTTTATGAAAATTCACAAAATTATTTTCTATTGTCTTGATCTCATTTGCTCTCTGCAGTCTATAAATAGTTGATATGTTTCCCAATTAGGAAAGTAGCTGAGACCATTGTTCCTAATAACAATTAGGAACTGTTATTATTATTAGCTTTCTTAAGTCAGATATTGAGTAAACAAACAATTTTGTTCAAGGTGTATTTTATGGAATGATGTAAGACAGACTAATAATAAATAAGCCTAAATGATTAGAAAAGAGAATTTTAAAAAAATGTTTGAATGTTTTTATTTTGATAGGGAATAAAGTTAGATTATTGATGCATAATTTTTATGGTATTAAAAATGTGTCAGGCTGGGGCTGGGGCTCAATGGTAAAGCACTGTCCTCGAATGTATAATGCACTGGTTCCATCTTCAGCACCACATTAAAAAATAAGTAAAATAATAAAGTTGTAAAAGTTTACATTATTTTATTTTAAATAAATGTGTTTTAAAGCTAACTTTGCATATATACATCKATACTTTTAAGAAAACCTCAAAAGCTTCTTAAAAGGGATAGTGGATTGGAGAGAGGGTAATAGGATCTTACTGAAAGTAAAATAATCCTTTATTCTGTTCTTTTCCCCATTTTTGTTTTTAAACATAACACTACATTGTAATGTTAACTTAGTCTTACTTGAAATTTATAATGGGAGTGGGAGACACATTTATAAATGGAAGCCAAGTTTTTTAAAAAGAAAAATAACTGCCTTCACTTTGTGCATTGAGTTGAGGCATTATATGTAAAACAGTGAAGTCTCTGATTATTTTCCATGAAATTTCTCAAATATGTGGGGCTTTGTAATTGGAGCTGTTTTCTATATAAGTAACGTGCACCTACAGCTTTCTAAATTATCTTTGGTGTTATTTTAAATAAAGTTAATCTCAATAATGTCCTTCTAGAATTGATTTTAATTTTGATGCCATATGGACTTAGTTTACCTTTAATTATTTTTCTTAGCTTAATATTGAGAGTTCTCCTTAAGATATACTTTATCTGATAATTACTTATCACCTTTTGCCTAGATATTCCCATGTTGCCTCATGTTCAAAAATACCTGAACTCTGTTCAATATATAGAGGAACTACAAAAGTTTGTGGAAGATGATAATTACAAGTAAGTTGATCTTCAGAATGAATTTGTACTTTGCCCTGTTCTCTACACTTCCATCCCCATCTATTTAAATACCTAAATTCCACAATCTAGTGGTATGTTAACAGTGGTATATTTCTTTTTAATCACTTGGTATGATTGAACCATTATACAAATACCTGATCTGTTCCTTTATTAAAAAGTATTTTATCCTTCTCAAGTTGTAGAGAGCTGAGGTTTAATAATTCAGATTTTCAATTTCTTCTTTTTGGTATCTTCAATCATTGAATCTTAATGGAAACTGATATTTTAATAGAAAAATTAAACAGTCTACAAAATAGAAAAATCATTCCTTTTTTTAAAATATATTTTTTAGTTGTAGGTGGACACACTATCTTTTTTTTCCCAATATTTTTAGTTGTAAATGGACACAATACCTTTATTTTGTTTAGTTTTTTTATGTGGTACTGGAGTTTGAACCCAGTGCCTCATGCATAGGCAAGCACTCTACCACTGAGCCACAACCCCAGCCCAACACAATACCTTTATTTTATTTTTATGTGGTGCTGAGGGTCAAACCCAAGTGTCTCATGCATGCTAGGCGAGCCACAACCCTACCCCCAAAAGACTCTTTTTAACAGTTATTTTTGGACACATCTTAGAGTTTGTTTCCAGTTTTCATGGATTGAGAGATTATTGAACCTTACCTCTAGATTATTGATGAGTTGCTCCAATATAGACCTTTTCTCTTTATTATAGCAAGTACTTTATGAAAACTTAAAAAACTCCCCTTGCAAAGACCTGATGCCTTTTCCTCTCTCCTTACCATCCAGTGTGTTTCCCAAGGATGGGAATTTTTAAATTGCTATTCCATTACACTTTTCAGTGATACTACTTTACATCATACCTGCTTTTTAAAGGATGGAAGGATTAAGAGCTTATTTCTAYAGCAGCTTCTCATTTTTCCTTTAGCTTCATTTGTTAACTTAAATACATATATTTTTTTTTCTTCTTTTTGCCTAGCTCTTTTTTTCTTTTTTAATTTTTCAATAGAGGCAGGATCCAGCTATATTGCCAAGGCTGTTTCTAAATTCCTGGCCTCAAGTGATCCTCCTGCCTCTTGAGTGGGACTGTAAGTGCACATCACCATGCCCAACCTTTGCTTAACTTCAATTGAATTAGTCCCATTGAAAGCTGAAATTCTGGGTATATATTAAAAGTATCATTAATGCTCAGAAACACCTTTATTACCATCTTCCCCAACCCCTGTACACACACCATAATACTATCATTTTTTAGTCCCACACCAAATTTCATTTTACAAAAGGCTTTTTTATGTAGTAACTCATTTGAAAATATATGAGGTCAGTTTTTTAAGTCTGGAGTTTGTTTCACAAATCTGTTGTGCTAGGTTGTAAGTTTCTTGAGTTCAATCATCTGTGTCTTTTATTTTTTCCACTATTTTTTCCATCTCTCTTTCGTTAGTAACATAAAACTTGTGCGTAATAAACACTTAGCAATTTGTCCAATGAGCTGTAGAATAGTTGTCTTAAAACTGAAACTATCTATTAAAATTTTCCTTATCTATCTCAAGAAACCACTAGATTTTTAAAAAGTGGAAATGAATTCTCAGAAAATTTTGCACAATTATAAAGATGGTAAATTTTTACTGACATCAGTAAAAGTGTGATATTTATTCAAATTTTTATTTTGTTGAAAAGATAGACTTAGCCATTGGCACTATTTAGTAATTCTGACTGCCCAGAGCTGATGTGTATACCTTCATATTTATAGGAAGCCTGATGCTGTTATGTTAACTTTTGTTTTTATGAGTGACCAGAACGAGAACAGCCTTCTCATTATATGAATTTAACAAATATTGATGAAGCATTTGCTATGGTCTGATTACTATGTCAGTTGCTGGGATTATAAAAAGGATGTTGTTCTTGCCCTCGAGAAGCTCAGTCTAATGCATCTAAAACAGATGATTTCAGAACATTGAAACAGTACTATAGTAGAGCTATGCCCAGGATGCTACAGCAGCATAGATAAGGGGACACCTGACCCAACTTTAAAGGAAAAGTAAAGGGAATAGAAACATGGATAGCTGCAGGAGACAGTGTCACCTGAGGCTGCACTTAACAGGTGAGTGGCAGCACATGGAGGGACAAGAGGTACTCTAGGGATAGAATGAGCAGGAAGATGGAGCAAGAAACTGTTTGCTTAGGGAACTCAGGTCATTTGGTGGTGTTGGGACATCTTATGAGAGACTGGAGAAAGATACATTGTTTTTCTGAAAATCAAATTATATTGCATCAGCCTACTAATTAAATGTTGAGAGTTAAGAGAATTTTAAGAGCCATTAAAATTATTAGTTAAAAATGATTTTTATGATGAAGTATATTTTAAAATGACTTCATTTACTTAAAGACCTTTGTTTTTCACTACTTCATCTAAATAGCCAGTGTAAGTATACAGATTACATACATATCTTTTAGTCAGGGTGAAAATCTGTTTAATTTTAATACCAGGCATTATCTTTTCTTGATGAATTGGCATCACTTAGTTTATGGTGCTTTGATGATATTATAAGCAACAGAGTAGCAGTCACTACTGTGGCCTTTAAGATGCTTCTGCTTTGTATACAGCTGTCATTTATCAGCTCCTACAGATAGCAGTGTGATTCACCAGGAAGCTCCCCTTTGTTCTTTCTGCTCTGGCACTGGGTTAGGAAATTGTGGTGGTTTTGTTTACTTCTTTGTCTTTCACTTACTGTACTGTAAGCTTCAGAGGGCAGGGATACCACATCTGCCTTCTCCCTTTTACATAATACTGCTGAGCACAGTGCCTAACACAAAGCAGGTGTTCAGTAAATATTTGTCAGATGAATGAATACAGTATAGTTTGTACCTGAATAAACAAACTACCCTAAGAAAAGAAAAGGAGCAGAGAGTTCTGGTTAATCATTCATCTAGTTAATATGTTCATTTTACATTGTCAGATATTTGGAATATAATCATATTTAATTCCCTCCCAGGTTATCAAGGAAATAATTACTTAAAATAAGAGCCTACATTAGATTTGTTTATCATTGTGAAATTCCAATCAATAGAATCTAAATGGTCTTTATTAATTTTCAAAGTCTTAGTAATATTAGACTTCATTTATTATAACAAAGCATTTTCTACCATTTTTGGTATTCTGTTTCCCAAAATTGCCTCCACTGATAKAAATCATAACTTCTTCTGCTATGAAATTCAAAACTGGATATATTATCCTAAGTAGAATTCAAAGACGTAAAAGGGTTGGGATTATGGCTCAGTGGTAGAGCCTAGCATGTGTGAGGCCCTGAGTTCAAGCCTCAGCACCACATAAAAAGATAAATAAATAAAATAAAATTATTGTGTCCATCTATAACTAAAAAAATATTTTTAAAACAAAGACTATTAAGAAACTTTATTTAGGACATGGACTTACTAGGAATTTTGCAAACAGCCTTTTTCTTTGTATAATCTTTTGATAAGTTGATGCTAGAAATAATTTGTATCATATATTAAATACTACATGTGAAGATTCTTAATTTAGTGGCACCTTTGGGATGTTAGGGAGACATTTGTGTTTTTAAATATAACATTTTGTGGCTGTCATTGTAGCTCAGTGGTAGAATGCTTGCTGAGCTTGTGTGAGGCACTGAATTTGATCCTCAGCACCACATAAAATAAATAAATAGATAAATAATAAATAAAGGTATTAAATCCATTTATAATAATTTTTAATTATAAAAATATATATAAATATATGTGTATATAACATTTTAATGTTTTTCTTCTCCCTAATATTTCCTGGAATAACTGTAAGATCAACTTTGGATGAGAGAGATAGGAATCTAACATCTTAGTTTAGGGTTGCTCTGGAAGAAAAATATGCAGCTCAGACAAATTTATAAAAAACATTTTTAGAGGGCTGGGGTTGTGGCTCAGTGGTAGAGCATGTGTGAGACACTGGGTTTGATTCTCAGCACCGAATATAAATAAATAAAATAAAGATCCATTGACAACTAAAAAATATTTTTAAAAAATTTTTTTTAAGTTTTTTTCTGGGAAAATATATTATGTTGTCAAATGTTAATCATTCCATGTGTTTTGTGTTTTTAAAATTCAGGCTCTCATTGAAGATAGAACCAGGTACAAGCACACCACGTTCTGCTGCTTCCAGGGAAGACTTAGTAGGTTAGTGTGTTGCTTTCTGTCTTTACCAAATAATAAATCAGAATACGTGATAGGAAAGAATAAACCCCAAAGCAAATAAATACTTAGCAATCTTGTAATGCATGAGAAAAAAAAAATGCTTTGGGGAATAAAACCCATCAGGCTTTCTTGTCAGTTTTTTTCCCTTGTTTTTTTTTTTTTTTTTAAATTAAAAAGTTACTTGTATTTTGTCAGTAATACACAAATAAATGTTACATAATCAAGAAAAACAGATACAACAGAAAAAACAGACAAGAATTTAAGAATATAATATTCTTTTTTTTAATTGTTTTTTAAGTTTACTTTATTACTGGGCCAAGTATCCAAATATAAAAATCCATCCCTACTTTACCTGTTTTCTTACAATAGGGATATTATTGGTACCACAAATAATTTTTTAAAAAAATTAAACCACTCACTATTAAGAAATAATTAATAAGAGCCTTTTTTTGGAGGTGGGGGAGATTCTGGGAACTGAACCCAAAGCTTTATACCTCCTAGGCAAACACTCCACTTCTGAGCTATGTCTCCAGCCTGATAAGTACCTTTTAAAGAATTGCCAGTGCAGTCTTTCATACAAGCTTTCTGTTGTATATTCTAAGAATATTCGAAGTCCCATCTAACATGATGTGAAGAAGTAAGGGAACAAGTTGTGACAGTATCTGGGAGAGAGCACAATCAGTTTGATCTCTTAAATTTGCTTTTTTTTTAATACTTATTTTTTAGTTGTAGTTGGACACAATACCTTTATTTTATTTATTTTTATGTGGTGCTGAGGATCRAACCCAGGGCCTCGCACTTTGCTAGACGAGTGCTCTACCATTGAGCCATAACCCCAGCCCTTAAATTTGCTTCTTTAAATTCCTTTCTTAAAAAATTTTATTCATGCATTATAATTATATTTAATAGCAGATTTATGTATTTGAATATATACATAATTATATACATAATTCCCTCAATCTCCTTCCCCAGAACCTTCCTTTTCCCTCCCTTCTTTTCTGCCCCTGCCCACCCACTTGTTCTGCTGATCTCCCTTCTATTGTTTTTTATTTCTTTTAATTCTTAAAGTAATATTTTGGAGATCTGTGTGCTTCTGAGTAGTTTTTTATTCCCATAAACTCAAGCAAAGTGTCAATGAAGGAGTATAATTTCTAACTTGAATGCATTCTAAGAGGAAACTGAAACAATGAGCAAAGAAGCAATGTATAAAAATAAAAAGCACTGAACCTGGGACTCAAGACCTGGGCATTAAGTGCAGATTTTGTCTGTGAAGTGAGATTCCAATCTAATCTCTTCTAATTCTGCTTCTTGCATTGTAAGTGGAGGAATTATTTACACTGCCTCTACTTAATCCAAGCAAGATGGAAACTAATGGATTTTTATATGGTTTGTGATTCCATGTTTTAGAATTTAGAAAATAAATATTTCTCATGTTCAAGTCAGTATAGAACTAACATTACATTAAAATTTAAATCTCTTTTTATAAACCAAGGGAATAAAAATAAAGTAATCCTTTGAAGCTATTTGAAAATATGAAAATTTCCTCCCCCTCTCTCTTTTAATTGAACCCATAGGTCCTGAAGTAGGAGCATCACCCCAGAGTGGAAGAAAAAGTGTAGCTGCTGAGGGAGCCTTGCTGCCACAGACACCCCCCTCCCCCCGGAATCTGATTCCACATGGACACAGGAAGTGCCACAGCTTGGGTTATAAGTCAGCATTCTTTATCTTATCTTTCAATTTTTTAAGTTATTTATAGTTGAATTTATTTCCTATTTATTAGTGGAACAGAAAATAATGTCCTTGCATAGTTTTTGGGTTGTGGGTTTTTTTGTTTTAATAATACTAGTCTTTCTGATTAAATAAAGCATCTTATTTGTCTAAAATAATTTATTTCTTCCAATACCTGAGTTTGGAAATTATCTGTCCTCAACAGTCCCTATATTTTTTTAATATTTTTTTTAGTTGTAGATGGACATTATATCTTATTTATTTATTTTTATGTGGTGCTGAGGATCGAACCCAGTGCCTCACTCATGCGAGGCAGGCACTATACCACTGAGCTACTGCCCCAGCCCCCAGTCCCTGCATATTTGAAGGAGATGAATGATCATTACAAAGAGCCATCATAAATAAAACTGAGATAGGAGTGTACCATTAAATCATAATCTTTGTATCAAAACAGTTCTTGTTTTGTCTTAACTAAAATAAATAATAAGGTCTAAAAAATTATTCCTAAATACACACAAAGGGAAAATAATTTTTTCTTTGACTTCATTCATTTTGCAATATTGTTTTTCCAAAAAGGGGACCATGTTCACCTCTGCCATGGTTTTTGTGAAAATTGAATAACTTTTCCCTAAAAATGTTTAACAGTTTAATGTACCTTAGGCTCAAGATGGAATTGAAGTATGTTCTAATTATATAGGTAGATCTGACTAGGTTTCCTAAAAAGAAAATTTTTCCTAAACTGTTAGTTTGTAGCTTTTGTGGTAGTATCTGTGTTCATTACTATGAGAGTTCAGAAATAAGTTCAGGATAATGGGTAAGTCTTGTATGTCCTGAATCTTTACATAAAAATATTTTTTATATCCTGGATTGATAACCTAGTAAAAGTTGTGAAAATTTTTCTCTTTGTTTCTAGTTTCATCCATAAAATGAACACAGCAGAGTTTAAGAGTGCAACGTTCCCAAATGCAGGGCCAAGACATCTGTTAGATGATAGTGTCATGGAGCCCCATGCACCATCTCGAGGCCAAGCTGAAAGTTCTACTCTTTCTAGTGGAATATCAATAGGTAAGAAATATTTCTCTAAAAGGTTTATTCTCTAAATGATTATTTAAATAAAATTTAGCTGAAATAAAATTCATTAACACTACCATAAGTAGAGAAAATTTGATTATAAAAAAAAAGTAGCAATTATATACAGGATAAAGGCCATATAATTTGTGATGGTTTTTAAAGTATTGTTTTAGTCCAGAAGAGGACGTATTTGAACACTGGTGGGAAAAGAACATAACTGGCTGGATTGGTGAACTGCATGCAGTTTGTGTTTGGGAATGAAGATGAGGTTAAAATCAAGATGATTCCAAGTTATTCAAATTAAGCAACTGCTTAGATGTTGGTGCTCTTACTAAGGTAGAGAGGACTGGAAGAGCAATCATTTGTAGGTAGTGAGGTGCTTGTGTAGCATGGCCCATTTGGGGGAATCATGAATGATTTKGGACATATTTAGTTCGTATAGTGTCAGGTTGTTGAACTACAAATCTGGAGCTCAATAGTAGTAATGTTGTTTCTGGTGATAGAAGTATGAGAATTAGTGTATATACAGTATTTCAAGCCATGAAACTTGTTGAGTTCACCCAGGGAGAGAGTATAAATAAGAACACTCTTACATTAGGAGGTTAAGTTAATTGTTTTTTTAATGAAAAATTAACTGTCAAAGGAAACTATGAAGGGGAGATCAATGAAGCAGGGAAAAAAGTGTCTCACAGAAGAGGCAAGTGCTAAATGTAGCAAATATCCAAAGCAAAAAGGAGAACTAAGATGGTGATGATAGTGAGCTTTCTGTCACTATACAAATATTGAGATAAATCAACTTCTAAAGAGAAAGGTATATTTTGACTCACAGCATGGGAGATTTCAGTCCATGATCTATTGACCCTGTTGTTTTGGGCCTGTTTCAAGGCAGCACATAATGGCAGAAACACTTTGCAAGACAAAACCCATTCACCTCATGGCCAGAAGTAAAGACCAGGGTCCCACAGTCTGCCTTCAGGGCATGCCCCCAAGTGACCTGAAGACCTCCCACTAGTCCCCACCTCCTAAAAATCACCTCCCAATAATGCCTAATGGAGACCAAGACTTAATATATGTACCTTTGGGGACATTCCACACCTACAATATAGCACATGAGAAAGGGGACTTGACCAGGGGGATTCATCAAGATAAAGGCATTGGCAACCTACAAGAGAATTGCTTCATAGAATGTGGAGGCAAAACCATGGTTGGAGTAGATTTGAAAATGAGAGATAAGGAAACAGCTATTCTGAAGGACCCCAGGAAATGGGGACCACATTGGAAAATGATGTGAGATTAAAAGAAGGTCTGGTTTTTTTTTATTTCCTAAACATTTGTTGATCTTCTGAATCCTCTAACTGAACATTCTTTTTTCATAATTAGAAAATGTACCCATACTATGTTGTTACTATTTTTAAAAAGTAATAAAAGGGGAAAATGTCTTTCTCTCTGATTAGCTACCAGGTTGCTTGAGGGCTCAGCCTGTTATTGTTAATATGATCATYTCATTATTCATGAAAAGCCAATAGAAAGATGCAGATGGAGATTCATTTTCTTGCACATCATGACTTCCTTAGTCCTTCAAAGTTCCAAGCTCTGAAAAGGAAATTGCTTCAGCGCTCTCCAGCACCATTCACCACTTGTTTATCCAATGTTCCCTTTTTGATTAATGCCACTAATTAAATGACAAAAATTTTTTAATAAAAGACAGTTTTAGCACCTGAAAAATCTCCTTATTAATGTTCTAAGTTGCTCATGTATAAATATAAACCTCAATCTAAAAAATAATACACAAAATACTTTTGGAAAAAAGGATTTTTTTTTTGTACATAAAAGCTAGAGTTCAGTATGCCCCATAAAGCAAAAAAATAATTTTTAAAATTACTCCTGTCAGATACATACTATTTGACTTTTTCCCCATCAGACTCTTTTTGCCTTTATGGGATTTTTTAAAAATTTTTTAATTTTAGTTATTCCAAGATTGTTAAGAAGCTAAACATAAAAAATAATTCCATTCTTGTTTGTAAATTAAAGTTATATGGGCATTTTTCTTCCAAAAATTTTCTTTTTTAAAACAAAAGCTTTAGCTTTAACATGAAAAAGAGTAAGTCTGTTACCATAATAGGTATTATTAGGCATACAAAAAAGTGGAGGTTTTAGTTGTAAATTTTATATGCAATAATAGTCTCCAGTGCGGAGACAACAGCCTCAAACCTTCTCTAATGTGGTGTATGTGTCCTGGATAACCTAAATATTCTTGTTTAGCTAAGGGAAAATGAATCAGTCTGAGCTTTATGCTTCTGGAAAAGCTTACATTTTCTACAAATAAGCCATACTAATTATGTTTAAAAGTTTTCAATCTTGACTACATAATGCTGTAAATCAAAAAATAATCTACAAGATCCCACCATCACCTCCACCATGTTACCTCTGATTTCTCATCTTAGCCACATGATATAGAAATTTGTTTAGTGACCTCTGCTGCGCCACCAGCACACTAGCTTCATACTAGAGGTTCCAAACATAGAAGTTAACTAGTGAAATCAAAATAAAGACACATGAAACTCAATTTACCTTTTTCTTGCCCAGCTAAGAGACGGCTTCTCCTGGCTCCTGCCTCAAGCCACCTGGCGGTAGCAGGGTTTACACAAGAGACCAGCAGGAGAGAGGAAGAAGCACGCCAGAGAGCGGGCTTTTGTTGGGGAACAAAAAATTCAGGTGAAAATTCCATCCAATGAAGGTCGAGGGGGACAGCATTCCAAGGTCAGGGTCAGTGATTGGTTTCCAGGTCAGTGGTCAGTCACACCCCCACACGGACAAGCCCTCGAACCTAGAAAGGGTGGGGAAGGCTCTGACACAGCTGGTCTGAGCGCCTCACAACCAGTCAGGGAGATAGACCAATCACGTGCGAGAATGGCTTGCCACAGTGACCTTTATCTCAATTCATCCAAAAATGATACGTTATTAACACATGCCAAATATGAGAGTTTAAGTCTCTTGTGGAACCTTGCTTGTAAAAGTTTGATGGACTACTCAACTTGCCATATTAATCATCTTAACTTTATTCAGAGTCAAAATTAAAATTACTTTTAAATCAATCTAAGCTATTGTGGATTCTTCAAATTCATTCCCTTTCAGGTTTTAACAAATATTCTGGCTAAAGAGGAAATTGTTACATTGTTAAAGCACCAATTTTTTGTTTTTATTTTTAATTTAGCAATACTGTTATCTTCAACCTTGTTTCTAAAGACAAAGAAATGAATTTCATTAAGCTTTTTATCCTTTGGGTGGTATGAGTTCTGTTACAAAAAGAAATAAGTATGCCCTGAACTTTTTAGGATTTCATGATTATATTGGTCCTAACTTACGACAGACTTGTAAGAAAAATTTTGTCCTCTGCATTCTCTGATGTAGAGAAATTTGTTTCTTAACATAGGAATTTGAACTATAAGTAGGTATGCAAAAATATATTATGCTATTTTGTTGTTTTAGGTAGTCTTGTCAACTGCATTCTAATAGGTTGCAAAATAAATCTAGTAGCTATAATATTAGAATAAAGAATTACTATGTGGATGTTTACCCACAATGTGATTGTTGTTTTATAAGCACAGAGAATTTTATTTTTTAAATAAAAATCCAAGTTTGGAAAATAATTCTGATGTTTGAATAATAGAATAACTTTTGATTTTAGGTAGTAGTGATGGTTCTGAACTAAGTGAAGAGACCTCATGGCCTGCTTTTGAAAGGTAAAAGTAAATGTCCATTTGAACTGCTTTGAATTTATTTAGACTATCTTAAATAATATGATAATACGGGGCTGCAGTTGTGGCTCAGCAGTAGAGCACTTGCCTTACACGTGTGAGCCACTGGGTTCAATACTCAGCACCACATACTTAAACAAAATAAAGGTTTTTTGTTTTTTTTTTTTTTAAGTATAATAATATGAATATCCCTAAAGGACTATTTAAGTTGCTTGTTGGTAAAAGAAACAAGAAGTTGATATTTAAGTCTGAAATTGTAAGTAATGAGATTGATTGTTGATAGTTTTACATGTTTATTGGTATCTTTAGACATATTTGAATATTAAATACATTTAAAATTATAATAGTTTTTAATAATAATAAAATTTCAATAATAACCAATTATAATTATCTACTCATATATTCACTTGCACATTCAAAAATAAAATTATTTCCTTAATTAAGTCTGTGTAATTTTAAGTAATACTAAGGCATTTAGTGTAATGGTCAACTTTATTCACTTTGTCAAGGGCACATTGACTTGGTAAATTTTAAATTGTACTATATATAAAACAGCTTGAAGTTTGAGTTCAAAATTTTAGAGAGTACAGAGTCTATATAGTATTTGGTACTCCAATATCAGCTGTGCTCCCTTCTTTCCTTGTTGCTTTAAGCTATAAAAACTGTCATCTATGTGGAGTAAATATGTTGTGTTGAACTTTAAATACAAGATTTCCCTGAGAATGTAGCCAGACAGTTTAATAGTTCAGGATTCTTACATATATCTGACCACTTCAGTATTACCATTCTCAGACTCAAAGTCTCTATTTTGTATATGAACTATGCAGCTAAATTTCTAAGCAACATTTAAATTGTATGTTACTGTCACAGGAAAACTGGAATTGAAGGTGGGAGGGAAAGGGAGTGAGAAGGGAAATCGCATGGAAATGGAAGGCGATCCTCAGGGTTATACATAAGGACATATAAGAGGAAAGGAGGGGTAAGACAAGATAATACAAATCGAAGAAATGATTTACAGTAGAAGGGGTAGAGAGAGAAAAGGGGAGGGGAGGGGAGGGGAGGGGAGGGGGGATAGTAGAGAATAGGACAGACAGCAGAATACATCAGACACTAGAAAGGCAATTTGTCAATCAATAGAAGGGTAACTGATGTGATTCAGCAATCTGTATATGGGGTATAATTGGGAGTTCATAACCCACTTGAATCAAATTGTGAAATATGATGTATTAAGAACTATGTAATGTTTTGAACGACCAACAATAAAAATTAAAAAAAAAGAAAATATTAAATATTCCTTTAGGGATATTTGTATTATTATACTTTTTTTAAAAAATACCTTTATGTGTTTACTTATTTAATTCCCTACCAGTGTCTTTTTCATAGAAAACAAATTAAATTTGAATTGATTAATTTCACTTTTTTTATTTGGGAAATTAGATCCTTGTTCCTGATGAAACTTCATAAAGATTTCTCATTATTACATGATAAGATTTTACTTATAAGCCCTATATTTCAAAATACTTGTTAATCTTTTCTTCTCTAATTATCAGTGTTCCCAAGTTGTGTTCTAATTTGGGAATTCTTTTTTAAAATATTTATTTTTTTAGTTGTAGTTGAACACAATAATACCTTTATTTTATTTATTTATTTTTATGTGGTGCTGAGGATCAAACCGAGGGCCTCGCACATGCTAGGCGAGTGCTCTACCACTGAGCCACAACCACAACCACAACCCTATTTTGGGAATTCTTAACAGTTTGTTTTTTTGTATTGTTTCTCTTCCCACTTTTACTTTCATTCTCTAAATTTGGGTTTGTCGGAAATGGCAGAAACACAAGAGTTGCCCTTGGTATGCTCTCTGAATTTGTACAAATTGTCTTTCCCTCTAGAAAGAGTATCTTGATTATAAAGTGTATTATTAATTTTTAGATAAAAAGTACTGAGTAAGCCAGGCATAGTGACACAAGCCTATAATCCCAGCAGCTCAGGAGGCTGAGACAGAGGATCATGATTCACAGCCAGCCTCAGCAACTTAGCAAGGCACTAAGGAACTCAGCGAGACCTTGTCTATAGATAAAAATACAAAAAACGTGGGGGGGAGGTGTTACTGGGTATGTGGCTTAGTGATTAAGCATCCCTGGGTTCAATCCCCAGTACCAAAACAAAAAACAAAACAAAAAAAAAAGGTGATGATTAAGAAAATTGTTTTTTAAAACATTGTTTGAGTTATAAGTGAGTACCCTAGGGTGATGGTGTTACTAAACCCTTCTCATCCCAGCAGGTTACATATGAATACAGTACTTAATGGTGTTACCTTCACATCTCAAAACATTTTATCATTTACAATACATGTTTTCCTTTGCAAAAATGTGCAGCTAAGCTGGGCATGGCAGCACACACCTGTAATCCCAGTGGCTTGGGAGGCTGAGGCAGGAGGATCATGAGTTCAAAGCCAGCCTCAGCAAAAATGAGGCACTAAGCAACTTAGTAAGACCCTGTCTCTAAATTAAAAAATTAAAAAAAAAAAAAAAAGGTGCAGCTAAAAAAAAAAAAGTGACAGTTTTAACTCCTTTTGTCCCATTGTCCCAGATGTGAAATACCAATGGAAACTTAAATATAGTATATGATATAATTGCATAATCATAACAAGAAGAATATAATTAGATTATAATAAAATATATATATGTAAGATCTAGATTATTATTTCTAACATTGTTTAATGCACTTGTATCAATTTCACTGAAATAGAGAAAAAATGGAATTTAATGAGTTAAATTAGTGGCTCTTGGAACATTTTGTAACTGTAAAATGGGTGCTGCCCAGCAAAATTTGGTCATGAAATAATAAGTGAATATAGAAATAAAATTTAAAACATTATGTGTGGATAAGGAACTTGAAAACAGTACCCTGAATTTTAGAATCATTTTCTGTTCTTATTTCCTATAGAGACATCAAATGTGTTGTTGCTTAAGATACTAAAACATTGTCTTTTGTTTTAAATATCATTTGTCATTAATGCTGCTTATAGCTTTCCCCAGGCAGAGTAGTATCAGTGTTTCAATGTGTTTGTATTTATTTCCTTTGTTAAGTATGAGGTGGCATTTGGGGTAAACACTAGCTCATTCTTTTTTTGTAATTTATTGACTTTGTCAATTGATGTAGAACTAAAATAAGAATAATATATTTATTCTTCAGTTTGTCTCCTTTCTTTTTTTCTTTGATTTACTATCAAGAATAAAGAGGTTTTCCTATTAGTTTTAAGTTTGCAAGCCACATTGCTTTTAGGTGTCTTCATAGGGACATGTAATAATTATGAATTATATAAATAAATCTGGGCATCATATTTAAACTGAAATCCAAGAAGTAGAATAGAAATAAGGATTTATGGAACATTGTTCAGGTTTTTATATTATTTAGCTATTTTTAATTCTTTTGGTTGACAGATTTGCAAAAGTGAATGTATATATAAATGTATAATATGTATTTCTAGAGTCAGTAAATTGTTTTAAAAAATCATGATGCCTACTTTAAAAAAGAAAGAGGAATAATCATAATAATCCTCTTGCAAGATTTAGAAAGCCTTGCAATTTTTAGAAAGCTGTATTACATGAACAAGCTATTATACTATTCTAGGTGTTGATGATTATGTGAATGAAAGTATATGTAATACATACAATTTATAATGGAATCCAACAGGAACAGATTATACCATTCTCTCGGCCCGGTGACAAGAGTGGCACGAAATGGCTATCGAAGCCAAGTGAAGGCCAGCAGGTACAATTCCCCTGTACCTAGGGGTCACAGAAATCCCCTCTGGTGTTGGTGATTGGCATACATGGGTGTGGTCTGACATTATTTCTGTTCTTTCTCAACTAATTGGTTTTCAAGCTAAACAAATTGCCCATGAAAACTTTCTTTTTAAGATTGAATGTAGAGATAAATTTAAACCATTCTTTCTGATCCACAGAGCTAATTGCTAAAACTTGCATCTTTATGTCACATTTTTCTAAATTGTTTCCCAGTTGATAACCTTTTAACTGCACAGGTCTTTATAATGCTACTAGCTATTGGATGAGCAATTAAAAAAATCTGCTTGTTATTCTTCAGCTACAATCAAAACGTTTACTTTGCTAATAATTTTACATTTGATTTGTCTTTTTTAAGAATTTTTTTTTCAGATAAACCACAGAACTTGAATTTAAACACGTCTGTTTCACTAAATTCTATCTGTGTATTTCAACTCATATTCATTCAGTTCTTCATTTAGCTAAATTGGGCCTCTTTTTGCCCATATTAGCTATGGAAACAACTAAGGATGGGTCAGTGATTGGGATATGGGGGTGAGTTATGTTGGGTAATCAACCAATCCAGAATACAGCAAGATAGCAAGCTTTAGGTCAATTCAATAGAATCTAATCTTCCTTGAATATAAGTACTCTAGCCTGAAGTTTCTGCTGGCTTCTAGGGTTTTTAAGTCACTTTGAAGACACCTAAATAATCATAAAGGAATAAACTGGAAAACTTCTGTTTTCTTTGTTGTTGTAGTAATTCTGCATCTAATATCAAATCACCAATGACATTTTTATCAGTGTGTACATCTTAATTGATTCATGTAGAACTCAATTCTTTATATGTGGTATCCTGAATCAGTTGAAGAAAGATATTTAAATGTTGAATTATTTTGTGATCATTTTTAAAAAGATTTATGAAAAGGAAGTCTGGAGTTGGGGGTTGTTCTTTTCTTGGAGAGCTGTTAGACCATAATCAAAAACCACTTATGCATTGGCAACATTTAAGTGTCATTAAAAGCCAGGTATTAAAAACATATATCTGCAATCCCAGTGACTTGGGAGGCTGAGGTGAGAGGATTGCAAGTTTAACACCAGCCTGAGCAACTTAGCAAGACCATGTCTCAAAATATAAAAAAGGGGCTAGGGAAATAGCTCAGTGGTAGAGCACCCCTGGGTTCAAGCCCCAGTTGGATGGATGGATGGATGGATGGATGGATGGATGGATGGATGGATAGATGGATGGATAGATAGATAGATATTCAAATATATTGTAGAAACCATTTTTTAAATGTGATTTTTGCCCTTTTTATTTTAGAATTAAGCATGAATCTTCTCTTTTCCTTTTTTGAGCTTCTGTTCTTTTTAATTTTCAGTTTATATATTTAAAGACTTCTAACAAATAGAATCTTCATCTTTCTTACCAGGACTTAAAGTTTCTAATCAGGAAAATAAAATTACAACAGTGATGCAGTGTGGCATGATAAAAAGAAGAAAAATCTTAAATTATTAATGTAATCTTTATTAAAGTGAATTCCTGCATTCTTTCTCAGTTATACTTGTTCAAATATGTAATAGTGTGTTTGTGTGTTTAGCCATCTGCTGACTTTAGTAACTTTATAATTAACTTTTGTGGCAGCTTATAAATTTTGGATTAATAAACCTTTAAAATTGTGTCATCTCGACTCTGAATAAAGCAGCAAAGTTTTAAATTAATAATAATTTTGTTTTATTTAAGTACCTAATAAGTGACTACTATCAACAAAAGCTCTTACATGTTCTTTTTTTCATTTTATTATTACAGTTCTGCAGAGTCAGAAGATTTGGCAGTACATTTGTATCCAGGAGCTGTTACTATTCAAGGTGTTCTCAGGAGAAAAACTTTGTTAAAAGAAGGCAAAAAGCCAACAGTAAGATTTCATTTTGTTATATTTTAACACATCTCTAAAAATGTGCAAATGCATAAGATGCTGAGAAGTACTAAATAGCTGAAAAAGAATCGAGTATGTAGTAGACTTGAAAATACACATTTTCCCCACCATATTCCTCAACACCTGTCGTGCAGATTTCAGGTTAATTATATGTTAATGGTGCTTAAATCAAGATACTACTGTACTTCTCTCTACCTTTTAGTGTAATTCTTAAACAAAACTTACTTAGATAACTCTGAAAGTATATCATTAAGAAGTACTAGAGGGCTGGGGTTGTGGCTCAGTGGCAGAGCGCATGTCTTGCACATCTGAGGCACTGGGTTCAATCCTCAGCACCACAAAAAAAAAATAAATAAAATAAAGATATTGTGTCCATGTATAACTAAAAAATATTTTTTAAAAAAAGGAGTAATACTAGAGAAATATGAAAATAGAAAATAATAACAACCCTAAAAATGGAAATTGACCAATTTTATTTCATCAGTTTATTTGAATCTCTTTAATGCATACTTGTTTCCTTACAAAATATAACTCAGATAGTAAATGTTTTCCAAACTATAACTATAGTGAGGGAAAAAAGGCTTAGTGGAACAAAGCTTTTTATCTATAGCAAAGAAGTTTATTCTTTCCTGACATCAGCATAGTAGCTTGACTACAAAAAAGAGCTCTTTTTCTTTTCTCAAATAACATTATAGCTTATCTAATTTGCAATATAAAACCTTGGACATGTTATTATATTTAAAAGCTTTTGAAAATATAAAGGTTTCTTCAAATATAAAAATGGTTTCCATCTAAATAATCTTATTTCACTGCTTATATCACAATAAACCAAGACACACAGAATCAGGAAGCTGCACTAGACCATCCAGTGAGTTCAGAATAGAGTGTCAGATTTGTAGCTTCAGACCCTCTTGCTCTTGTGCCAGAAGCTACAAATAGGGCAATGAATGCCTCCTGGAGATTAGTTCCAGTAAGGAGAAACAGTGTAAGCCCTTAAAATAAGGCCATGGGGTACAGAATGATGGTGTGGTAGGAGGGCATTTGGCCAAGATCTGTGGAGAAGGTGAGTAGCCTGGTGCACTTAAACCTAGAGACAAGTAGGCCTGTGTGATTGATGCATTAAAAGTGCAGGAGATGGGGGGGCTGGGGTTGTGGCTCAGTGGTAGAGCACTTTACTGGATTTGATTCCCGGCACCCCATAAAAATAAAGGTATTGTGTCCATGTACAACTGAAAAAAATAAATTAATTAAAATTTTTTAAAAAGTGCAGGAGCAGGGCTGGGGCTGGAGCTGGGGCTTAGTGGCAGAGCGCTTGCCTGGCATGTGTGAGGCCCTGGGTTCGATCCGTAGCACCGCATATAAATAAATTTTAAAAAATTAAATAAAGGTACATCAACAACTAAAAAAAATATATTTAAAAAAGTGCAGGAAGTCAGGCCAGAGCTGTTTGGTGATGTTACATGGAAATGAAGGTGACTTCTGGATTTGGGACCTGATGAAGGTGCATGTTGGTAACATTTTTTCTATGAAGGGACCAGCTAATTCTTGGCCAGGTTCCATTTGACATGTTTATTAAACATTCAAGTTGAACTGTCTGTTTAGCTTTAAAAAAAGTACAGTTGATGAGTTCTGTAGAGGAATGGTGGCCAGAAATAGTAATTTGGAAGTCATTAGCATACAGATAGTATTGGAGGTATGCAGCTAGATGAGATAGATTATCTAAGAAGAAAGTATCACTGAGGAAGAGAAAAAGCACTGAAAAGCTCTGTGGCATCAAAAGTCTGTGATAGGAAGAATAAAGGAGAACAAAGAAACTCATCCCAGAAACCTGACAGTTAAAGTACTTCAAGCAGGAAGAGTGGTCAGCTGAAAGGGACTGGATATACAGCCAGACCATGAAATTATAGGCATACTTGCTCTAGGAGATTGACTGTGATAAGGACAAAGCCTTTGGTAGGATGTCAGCAGCCAGTGACCCCAACAGCCTAAAAGCCAAATGAAGTAGAAAATAGACGAATTAGAAGTAGTGACAGGGAATTAGACATACCCTGCAATAAGTAATGCTGTGAAAAGGAGCAAAGAAATTATGTGGTGTCAAGAGGGTGAAGTCCTGGGAGACAGGAGGGACTTTTAAGGTAGAAATTCTTTTGTATGATGATGGTGGAGGAGGAGATGCAGTGGAGAGCAGCCTTATGGCAAAAGCAGACCTGAAAATGAGGCTAGTGAGAATCAAGGGCACAAGAAGAAAGCTGAGTTTGTCTTTACATAGAACCGGCTTAACAGTCTGTTGTAGCAAGAACAAAGGCTGAATATATGGATCTACAAAACAGGCGTAAGGAATTCACACTGGGAATATGAGGTGGTTCTCACCTCCAGGAAGTGTGTCATGACATGGAGGGAGATCAGGGTTAAAATTTTGAGGAGAAGGTAAAGAGTATGTTGACTAGATTGGGGAAAGGAAAATGGCAATCCTAATTTTATCACTTGGCATAATGTTATTTCTTCAATAATATTCAGCTACTATGATATGGTGCCAAGTACTTAAGTGGGTGGATTTGACTAGGGGTTGGGGTTTTATCAGGATAGAGGGGCTGAGGACTTAAAATGCTGGTGGGACTGGCTGTGGTGCTAAACCATGGAATTATAGCCTGCATGAAGAAAGGGAGAGGATGTGTGGCAGCAAGGAGGCAGTGGCAGTATGAGACAGGATTCTTGACGAGATCAAGAATTAACTGATGGCTGGGAATGGAGCTTAGTTGTAGAGCACTTGCCTGGCATGCACAAAGACCTGGGTTCAATCCCCAGTACCATCAAAAAAAAAAAAAGAATTTAAGAAAACATGAATGAGAGTATATGAGCTGAAAGTGATAGAATTATTTGAGACAATGATTTCAGAACTGCTACCACTCAACTCTGAGGCAAGGACTATGTGGTTGAAGTGAAGAATGGATCATGGGCACTAAGGAAAGTAAAGAAACTGAGAAGTCATAATATTTTTTTTTTTTAGAGAGAGAGAGAATTTTAATATTTATTTTTTAGTTTTCGGCAGACACAACATCTTTGTTTGTATGTGGTGCTGAGGATCGAACCCGGGCCTCACGCATGCCAGGCGAGCGCGCTACCACTGAGCCACATCTCCAGCCCAAGAAGTCATAATATTTTAATAGTATATCTGTATATTATTCTCTCTAGGTAGCATCTTGGACAAAATACTGGGCGGCCTTGTGTGGAACACAACTTTTTTACTATGCTGCCAAATCTCTGAAGGCTACAGAAAGAAAACATGTGAGTATTCTTCTAAATTTTTAGCATTGTTTTATAGACCTTTYAGTGATTATACAGAAAATAGACCTAAAAAGTTGCAAGAATTTTTTGTTCTAACCCAGAAGTTCTTACACTTACTTCTGGTGTGAGTACTGTAATGGAATTATTTTTCCTTACAGCATACCAAGGGAACATCTTGGAGTAACCTCTCTTGGGTGTAGTTTCTTTTTTGAATACCATTTTTCCATTGCAAGTATCAAAACTGCACATTAGGAATATCTATCTTGGCATGAAAGCTTACTCACCTCTGAGATTGTGGTTTAGTTGTAGTCTCATTTCCTTGAGTAAAATGTGAAAATCTAGGACCAACATCTAAAGTTCTTTCCATCTCAGTCTTGGATACAGTGGTCTAAGTTCTGTTCTCCTGTGCTCCATGTCACTTGACAGAAGCTCCTCTGTGCTCTCTTCTCAGGGTAGAATCTCCCTATAAATCCCTTTTGTATGCTGTTTTGTGCTTATATGCCAATGATACAGTCTTTGAAAGGGAGACAGTTTCTCATGTTACATAAATAAAGTCCCTTTGAGAGAAGTTTTATTTCTTAATCATGTGTTTTGGGAAGGGGAATTGTTTTACCCTACCGAGGAAAGGCAAGCCACTAAAGAAAACTTAAATATTTTTTCTACTTATTAATTTCGCAAATGATACTGTGTGAATCAGAGGTGTTCTTCTTTATCCTCACAGTTTTAGCCCTTAATCAAACCAAAAGTATAGAAAAGGGCAGTTTGCGTTTAAATGGATGTAGGAGGTGCTATGAGATTGCATTGCCTTCCTTATCATGCATTCCCACTAACATGCCGCTTTCCTAAGTTTCGTGTCTTGCTTTTCTTAAGGGTGTTATAATTTATGTTTCCGTAAATAACACATTGTGGGGGCTATGTGTGTGTTTTGTTGTTGGTGATGGTCATTGAACCTGAGGCCTGGGGCAAGCTAAGCTCATGCTCTACTATTGGGCCACACCACCAACTCCTAGAATCAGATAGTCTTAAGCAGTGGCTTTTTGCTTACTATTGTAGTGGTTCAGGTAACTCTTTTTTTTTTCCCCCTAATAGAGAGGTTTCTAAAAATATTTTTTTAGTCGTCAATGGACCTTTATTTTATTTATCTATATGCAGTGCTGAGGATCTAACCTAGTGCTTCAATACTAGGCAAGTGCTCTACCACTGAGCCACAACCCCAACCCTTCAGATAGTTCTTGCATTGAGATAAAGGACTGAGTGAGTGATCATGGAGATCCATTCTGTGAATATACTTTGTGTTCTGACTGTTCTGAATGGTCAAATGTAGTTTACAAATGAAAGCATATTCTTTATAAAAGGGGTTTTTAATAGAATGGTGTTCGTTGTCAGTAATAATATTAGTGATGCTAGCATACCTTACAAAGTCACACTGATTAGTTTCATTAGCACATTTTGCAGAGTGATTGTCTCTAATTAGTACTCTATATACAGAAGGAGAAAAAAGGTTGTAGTTAAATTGTGCCATTTGTCTTCAGATATAGAGCAGGTAGCACTTCGAGATACTCGTTGGTTGAATTTCAGTTGGTTGACAACTTTAAAGAAGTAGGTTTTCAAAAATAAAGTGGGGTTTTGTTTTGTTTTCCTTAGGTTTAATCAGAGCTAAATTATAGAAGTTATAACTGAATTTGTCATATAGTTCATCTGCTAAGCATTGCTTTCTGTTTGGCCTTGCCACTTAATACATATTAATATATACTAATCCATTGTTATAGTTTGAAGTTAATTACATGAGATTTCTTTTTTTAATTTTTTTTTAGTTGTAGATGGACACAATATCTTTGTTTTATTTATATATTTTTGTATGTGGTGCTAAGGATTGAACCCAGTGCTTCACGCATGTAAGGCAAGCGCTCAGCCACTGAGCTACAACCCCAGCCCCTACATGAGATTTCTAATAAATGATGCATATGAAATAATTTAGAAGATGGCAGATTGTAAGAAAATAAAATTGAGTACCCAGAAAATTTAAGATTTAAGCTATTCAAAACAGGATAGAAGGCATAGAGACAGGTCTGCATCTATATTCAGTATTAATTTGGGGATTAGGAGTGATATGGCACAGAACTAAAAACAATGAAGGAAAAAACAGTTTTGAACTGATTTCAAACAAAATTAAAACAAACTGAATGAAAATATCTGCTATAGATAAGCAACAGATAAAATCTTTATTATATATAGCACCACTATATTATATTCTTGCCAAAATATTTAACCTGAATTTTATGAGGAAGCAATCAAATTTAGGCTGTGGGACATTGTATGAGACAGCCAGCCTGGTTTCTTTTTTGTCTTATTATTCCAATTTTTTATACATGATAGCAGAATGCATTTCATTTCATATTACACATATAGAGCACAATTTTTCATTTCTCTGCTTGTATACAAAGTAGAGTCATACCATTTGTATCTTCATAGATGTACTTAGGATAATGATGTCTATCTCATTCCACCATCTTTCCTACCCCCATGTCTCCTCTCTTCTCCTCTCTCCCCTTTGTCCTATCCAATGTTCCTCCATTCCTCCCATGCCCGCCCCCCACAACCCCCATAATGGATCAGCATCCACATATCAGAGAAACCATTCAGCTTTTGGTTTTGGGGGATTGGCTTACTTCAGTTAGCATGATATTCTCCAACTCCATCCATTTACCTGCAAATTCCATGATTTTATTCTCTTTTAATGCTGAGTATAGATACCACAGTTTACCCATTTAATTATSTATTGAAGAGCATCTAGGTTGATTCCACAGTTTAGCTATTGTGAATTGTGCTGCTATAAACATTGATGTGACTGCATCACTGTAGTATGATGATTTTTAAGCCCTTTGGGTATAAACCAAGGAGTGGGATAGCTGGGTCAAATGGTGATTCCATTCCAAGTTTTCCAAGGAATCTCTATACTGCTTTCCAGATTGGTTGCACCAGTTTGCAGTCCAGCAATGAATGAAAGCAAAGAGTGTGATCTTTTCCCCACATCCTCACCAACACTTCTTATTGTTTGTATCCTTAATAGCTGCCATTCTGACTGGAATGATATGGAATCTTAGAGTCCTTTTGATTTGCATTTCGCTAATTGCTAGAGATGTTGAACATTTTTTCATATATTTGTTGATCCAATGTATATCTTCTTCTGAGAAGTCTCTGTTCAGCTCCTTAGCCCATTTATTGATTGGGTTATTTGGATTTTGTTGTTTGTTTTGTTTTTTGTTTGGGTTTTTTTGTTTTGTTTTGTTTTGGTGTTAAGTTTTTGAGTTCTTTATATATCCTAGAGATTAGTAGAGATTAGTACTCTATCTGATGTGCATGTGGTAAAAATTTGTTCCCATTCTGTAGGCTCTTTCTTTGCCTCATTGATGGTTTCTTTTGGTGAGAAGAATCCTTTTAGTTTGAGTCCATCCCATTTATTAATTCTTGATTTTATTTCTTGCGCTTTAGAACTCTTGTTAAAGAAGTCARGCCCTAATCTGATGTGATGAGGATTTGGACCTACTTTTTTCTCTGTTAGGCACAGGGTCTTGGTCTAATTCCTAGGTCCTTGATCTACTTTAAGATGGATTTTGTGCATGGTGAGAGATAGGGGTTTCGTTTCATTTTGTTGCATATGGGTTTCCAGTTTTCCCAGCACCATTTGTTGAAGACGCTATCTTTTCTTCAATATATGTTTTTGGCCCCTRTGTCTACTATGAGATAACTATATTTATATGGGTTTGTCTCTGTGTCCTCTCTTCTGTACCATTGTTCTACAAGTCTATTTTGGTGCCAATATCATGTCATTTTTGTTACTGTAGCACTGTAGTGTAGTTTAAGGTCTGGTATAGGGATACCACCTGCTTCACTCTTCTTGCTAAGGATTGCTTTAGCTATTCTGGATCTCTTATTTTTCCAGATGTATTTCATGATTTCATGACTGCTTTTTCTATTTTTATGAGTCATGTCATTGGTATTTTGATTGAAATTGAATTAAATCTGTATAGTGGTTTTGGTAGCAATCAAATTCAGGTTGTGGGACATTGTATGAGACAGCCAGCCTGGATTCTTTAAAAAAAAAAAAAAAAAAAGGCAGGTAGAGGAGATGTTAGGGGACAGTCATTCTAGACCAAAAGATACTTGACAGCTAATTGTAGTGTATGTAGTTCTGGTTGAATCCTGGAGTTAAATCCTTTCTCTAAAATACAATTTTTTGTCAATGGGGATCAGAGAAAGTTTGGGAAAATGTCTGGGAAGAAAGAAGGGACTTTATTTTTTAATGTTTATAAATGAAAGCATACACATGTAAAAATAGTTTTTAGTGGAMGTGTATTTATTATTAAGAAAATTCATTGATATGTTTGAACCTATCACTACATGGTAGTGAGTGAAAAAATATTGTTTGGTTAAATTTTTTAAATCAAATCTGCACTTGAAAAAACATTCCATGACTGATTAAGAATAAAACAGAAACATGTCAAAGGGAAATAAGATGAAATACAGATAGGTAACGTATAGGAAAAAAATAATCAACCTTACTAGTTACCAAAAATTGCAGAAGACACTTTTTTGATAATATTGCATTGTCCATAGAGTAGGGAAACATGTACTATGATTCATGGTTATCAGAAACTTAAATTGATATTGTTATGGTGAGATCAATAAAAGAACCATTACAGTTGAGTACAAACCACAAGTCAGAGTATAAACAAACTCCCATTGGTATATTAAAAACCAGCAGCAAAAATAACACAAAAAAGTAAATGCATAGAAAAAAGATCTGGGGTGTCTCACCCCAAATGATGATGAATCCTGGGAGCAAAATAGGATTCAACTGGGGGTCAAAGGCCATTGCACTGTATTTATAGATTGATCCCTCTATATTGAGGGGCTTATTGCAGAGATTTTTGAGAGATAAGAAAAGAATATTAGAAACCATATTATCAGCCAGCACCGTGGACCAAGCCTATAATCCCAGCAACTTCACCATGGCCCATGCCTATAATCCCAGCAACTTAGGAGGCTAAGGCAGGAGGATCACAAATTCAAGGCCAGCCTCAGTGATTTAGAGAGGCCCTTAGCAATACAGACCCTGTCTTAATTAAAAAATAAGAAGGATTGGGGATATAGCTCAGTGATAAAGCACCCCTGGTTTCAATCCTTAGTGCTGAAAAAAGAAAGAGGAAAAAAAATCATACTATCTACTTTGAAATAAATTGTGAGTCTCAAGTCAGCTGTTCTTTGGTATTGCTAATTTCATTCCTCATAATATTAAAGCTTATTTCTTTAGCTTTTTTTTAAGTAACTATATTGTTACAAATGTGCCGTGTTCAGTCCTTTTTCCCATTTCTTTTCATTGTGAAACATACATACTGCAAAGTAAATAGGTACATACATATTTTAAAGCAAAGTAAATAAAATAAACATGTATTTAAGTTCTACCCAGTTTAAGGATCAGAATTTACCAGACTATCAAAGCCTCCCCAGATTAGCATCCTCTTCCTTCCCCATCAGCTGTCCCCACAGCCCATCACTGTCCTGAATTTCATGTTCCTCATTGCCTTGTTTCCTTAGAGATTTATATTTGCTTCCTTACACAATACTTAATTTTATTTTTTAAGTGTACTTGAATGAGTCACATATACATTCTTAAGCACAAGCTTTTTTGTCTGTCTGTTGAGATTCATTGTTGTTGATGCATATAGTTGTCCTTTAATCGTTTTCACAACTGAATAGTCTTCCATTTTATGAGTCTGTCTTGATTTATTGATATCACTCTATTATATCACTAGTGAACCTATCACTACATGGTAAATTTTTAGTGAATATTTGAATGACTTCCATTTCTTTACTATTTCTAACTGTTGCTGTGAATATTTTTTTGCACAGGTTCTCTGGGTTATGTATCTGTGGGATGCAAATGTTACTTTACAAGAATATACCAGATTAAGAGTCACAGTCACCAGCAGTAGAGTGAAGTTCATATCTTCACCATACTTCTTATTGTTAGTCTCTTTAATCTTAGCTAATCCAGTATGGATAAAATGTTGCCTGATCATTTTAATTTGTATTCCCCTATATACTTAACAGTGTTTATTGGTCATCCATGTTTCTTGTTCTGTGAAATGCCTGGATAAATCTTTACTTACTCTAATTGATGAAAGTTCTTTATATTTTCCAGATGCAAATCTGTTAACAGTTATTTGTTATAAATACCTTGTTCCAATTTTTTTAACTTATTTTTTTACTCTCTTTTAATTTTTTTTAGTTGTTAATGGATCTTTATTTATTTATATGTGGTGCTGAGAATCGAACCCAGTGCCTCACACATACTAAGCAAGCACTCTCCTACTGAGCTAGGACCCCAACCCTATATGTTATCTTTTAGCAGCCTTTTTACACACTGCTAGAGTCAATATGCCAATATTCTAGCGTTTTTGGTTTTTGTTTTTGTTTTTTTCATTTATGTTCATGAATGAGATTATCCTTTAACTCGGGCAAGTCATGCTCTGAGGGAATGGAAAATAAAACTGAAGCTAGGAAGGTCTGAAAAGAAGTGGGCTGTCTGAAGAGGGCATGCCTACATGCAGCCTACTAGGAAAAGGCCCAAACTGACCTGGACCAGCAGGAAATTGCAAATTTTTCTTTTAAGCTGTAGATGGACACAGTGCCTTTACTTATTTATTTTTATGTGGTGCTGAGGATCGAACTCAGTGCCTTACATGTGCTAGGCAGGTGCTATACCACTGAGCCACAACCCCAAACCAGGAAGTCACAAATCTGACCTCATTAGGAGAAACTGAAAATACACTCTCTGTCTCGTAACTTTTGCTCACTGTCTTTCCCTAATTATTACTAATTGTTTTTACTAATTATCTTTTTGTCTCAGTTCAAATCAACATCAAATAAGACTGTCTCTGTGGTGGGATGGATGGTGATGATGGCTGATGACCCAGAACATCCAGACCTCTTCCTGCTGACAGACTCTGAGAAAGGTGAACTGTTAGCGTGACTAGTGTTGAAGATGCTGTGTACCTAACTTGAGGAGCTAAAACTGGTTTAATGTTGAGTGTTCCATTCAACAGGGGATGTGATGGTGTGGCTTTTATCTACTAGGAAGTATTTTTGTCACATAATGTGTTTTAATGAACCCAATATTTTTAGAGCTTATTTTCTCCACTACATAAGCATAAACATTAAAGCCCAAGTAATCCCTAAAGGGATAACCAGGGAGGGAGGGAGGACATCTGAGGATATCAGCCCCTGTTACTTTAAAATGTCAGCGATTGCCCTGCAGGCATTGCTCCCCTGCCAAGCCCTCCAGTAGGAGGTTGTTCTCAAGTTCTGAAAGTGACAAAGTTTTTCTTTAAAATTCTTTTATTTCATTATTTTAAATTAATTTGTAGGCTCAAATCCCTTTCCAGTTAAGATACTTTATAAAACAGAGACATTTGTGAATACAACAATCGACTATTAACCATTGGATGTCATAAAATGGAAGAGGTAAAAATGGGTTGGGTTTTGTCTTTTTTTTTTTTTTTTTTTTTTTGAGAGATGGTCTCCCTAAATTACCCAGGCTGGCCTGGAGCTAACATTCCTCCCACCTCAGCATCTGGAGTAGCTGAGATTAAAGGCACAAGCTCTTGTGTCTGGCAGAGGAGAAAAAGTGGAGGGTGGACTGTGTAGATCACTCCAACCTCCTGGCTCTTCTTGCCCCTTCAGTGAACGCCACAGGGTCCATGGGAGACACCTTCCCTGGTTGCTGCTCTTCCCTAATAATGGCCACCATTATTAGTCCACAAGCACCACAGAGGAGGTCAGAAGAGAGATACTCGCCACATCTGCCAAAATCTTCCACTCCAGCAATTCACAACTGAACTCGTTAACTTCTGTTGACTTTACAACTGTATCTTGACCTGCATTTATTTAGTTGGTGTTTTGTATCAACAGAAATTCTGTTTTTTGGATGCTGTAGTTTTAAGTAAAAAAAATTAAATCTGTATTTAGATGCAGAAAAAAATAATCATAGCAAAATGTCTTGTTTTGAGGGAAATAGATTGATTTACACAATAAGCACTCCCTAGTCAACATTCTCAATTAAAAGCCCCAGCCCCACAAAATCTCAAAGGCATTATTTATAAAATTACATTTTAAAATAAAATCATTGAATTTTGCTAAGAAATTCTTTGTTTTCCTTAGCATACTTAATATTGCCAAGGTTTTCATAATGTTTGTGCTGGGGATTGGGGTTGGGGTATAAATTGTAGCTGTGACCAGCTTAATTGTAGATGTGTTCTGTTCTATTGACCTTAAATCTGTATCTGAATTCAGTAATCAAAACAGTGTTATCTGACCTAGTAAACATTGGGTGAAGAAGCAGTTGCTTCTGAAATGAAAACTTTTAAGTGTTAAAATCTCAAAGGAAAGCTGGATAGTATTTAAATCTAGTCAGGCTCCTCAATCACTGAAGGCAGACATAAAGGAAAGTATACTTCAGAAGAATTGTGAAATAAGAACTTAGATCAGTGAGAAAAGTAAGCAAAGCTCAACTCAGAGCAGCCTTTAGTACATGTATCTTTCTCATTTTATTCTTTACTCATCTTAATATATATAGCCATATAAATACCCTTAGTGTGTCAGCCTTGATTAGTCAGCGTAGGAACTCCTGAATACACGCCACACAATGATTTCCAATTTCATAAAAGAGAAAAAAAACATCTTAGACATTTCCAGTGAGCCCCCAGCAGAACTCTCCAGTTCTGCAGTGATCTTGATAAATGACTGGTTGACTCAAGGCTAAAAGCTGAGCCCATGTTGATGCTACCTGATTAATCCTTAATCATGTTAAATAGCTAATGTTTATGTATTTTTAAACAACACAGGTTGAAGCCCTTTGGCTGCAAAAACTTATTAACATCTAATTTTAGATCATCTATCCACAGAGACAAACCTGGAGAAGCCATCTTTATGTATATGTTATTTTAAAGATCATTTATAAGCTATAAAACAGTGACTTTCTGAATATAGGATAGCATTTGGATGGGTTACACAGAGAACTATTCTTTTTATTTGTAGTAGGAGACTAGGTATTAAATGAACAGGATCCTGAAACAGAACTCTAGTGATGTTTAATTCACTCTTTAATATCTAGAAGAGTTACTATGTGGTAAAATCCTTATCGCTTTCCACTTGTTTTTGGTAATTATAGGGAATTCATACAAGTTTCAAGCTGGCAGTAGAATGAATGCAATGCTGTGGTTTAAGCATCTGAGTGCAGCCTGCCAAAGTAACAAACAACAGGTGAGTTTTTTTCTTAATTGTCAGAACAGTTTGTAACTTGGGAATATAAAAAGAGGTCCAGTCGGGCATGGTGATGCACACCTGTAATCCCAGCTGCTTGGGAGTCTGAAGCGCGAGGATCAAGGTCAGTCTCAGCAACTTAACAAGACCCTGTCTCAAAATAAAATATATAAAGGGCTGGGATACGGATTGGTGGTCAAGTACCCCTGGGTTCAGTTCCCAGTGCCTAAATAAATAAAGTTCCCAAAAGAAGTAGACTTGTTTTCTTAATGAACTGGGAAAATGGTGGTGTTTTTAGTCTTGTTTATTCTTGTTAGTAATAGTCAACAAAACGTGGAGTTTACACTTTAGTCAGGAGCTAGATAATAAACAAGTAAACAAAAAGCAAAATTCCAATTCATAAGAACTATGTAATAGAATTGTGTGAAATAGAGAGTAGAGACAGCTTCAGATACCCAATGCTAAATCGGTGAGACCTTCCCCCCAAGGTGATGATAGTGACATGAATGACAAGAAGGAACCATCCATGTGAGGATTAGGGAGCACAGAGTGCTGGAAAAGGGACCAGCCCATGCAAAGACCCTGAAGCTGGAACCAGCTTAGTGTTCAATATAGAGAAGGGAGCTAGCATCTGTGCAGCATAGCAAGAGGACAGCTCTAGGAAGAGCAAGAGCAAGGTGGCCTCTAAATTAACAACAACTGTTCCTATTCATCTTTGATTGATGGCCACTTGAGGTAGTTTCCTGTGGTTGCAGTGAAACCAAATCCCTCTTTATTGTATATTTTTGTTTTACTGAAACAAAGATGGTCTAATGGAAAGGCTTTCGCTACAGAGAAGAAGGAATCTATCACATTGTTTTTCTCACTGTGTTGCAGAGTTAAGATTTGAATCACAAATTGGTAGATAACAAGTAAATGTAATTACAAAAATTTCTTTATACCTTTCATAGAACTAGACTCCAGTTAAATATATTTAAAAATCATTGACGTAGGGTATTGATAATGCCAAAGAACACAGTAAACGTTATCAGTAGCTAATTTTGAATAATATAATACTCTAAGTTGAGAAAGCTTATAAGTATTTTTTTACCTTCTGATATTAGGATTCAAGTTATTACCTCTTAAGAAACTGAAGCTCAGAGATACTGAATCACTTAGGTAGATCAAATAAGTAAACAGTGGTAGACTTGCAACATGAACTCTTTAAGTCCATTCTTTATGAGTATTGTTGGAGTGAGCTTTGTTCTCTCATTTTTATTTCACTTCTTTGTGAAAGACTAATATTTTAGTAACCTCCACAAGGTACATGAAATACAAAAGTTCTTTTCTTGCCTGTCACATTAGTATCTGGGACAGAATGAAACAGATCTTTTGCCCAAGACAAAAGCCTTTCAGGATTCAACTTATATGCTACATGTTTTCTTTAAATGGAGCTTAGGAGCCAGGCATAGTGGCACACACTTGGAATCCCAGCAGCTCGGGAGGCTGAGACAGGAGGATTATGAGCTCAAAGCCAGCCTCAGCAACTTAGCGAGGCCCTAAGCAACTCATTGAGACCCTGTCTCTAAATAAAATATTAAAAAGGGCTGGGGAGATATGGCTCAGTGGTTAAGCATCCTTGGGTTCTATCTCTGGCACCAAATAAATAAATAAATGTAGCTTAGGGTATTAAGTCTTGTTTATTAAAAATAACCCTCAGATTCCAAGATTAATCTAGGCAGTATTTACACACCAGCATGGAGGCATAGTTTCTTTCACTGTGTATTGGTAGACCTTCCTGCTAACAAAGTCAGCCAAATGTGCATAAATAGGTTTGTTGTTTTGTTGTTGTTTCTTTGCTCCACATTTGTAAGAAACAGGGTGAAGCAAACTTACAAAAAGAACCTGCAAAATTTGAAACTTTTTAGAAGACTGATTAAAATGCAAAATACCTAAAATGACAGATAATTTAGGAAGAAATGAGACTTTTACTCTTTACTATGGATTTTTTTAAACCAAACTTGGGAATTTACATTTTAAGCACATGAGCATTGTATTATATTTGATTTATAATTCAGTTGTGATTATATTTCCCATAGAATTCTCATTCAGAAACTGGCACATCTAAGAAACACAGGGTTTTGAGTATAAGAGCTTTCAGAAAGAAAGACAGATGACCTGTGAGAACTGTTGAGCTGTGTTAAAGGACAGGGAGGAGATCACTGGTATACAGAGAGCCAGGGCAACCTGGAAACAGTTTTCAGGATTGAGTGGATTTGTTTATTCGTTTTTTGTTTGGGGTTTTGTTTTCTTGTTTGTTTGTTGTTATTTTTTTAAAAACCTTTTATTAGTCCTTTAACTGTAGAATTCAGCAACTAATTTTTAAAAATGAAAAGCATTTCAGAGAATTATTGAATTTCAGATTTTGTACAATCTGTGAGTAGTAAATTATTATAAAACCTATTGATCTTTCAGAGTCATAAAGTATTAGATCAGAATTGTGTAATGAATTTTATACTTTTCACAAAGAATTTCATAATGACTTTAATAATGATTTCATAAAACTGTTCCTAGTAATCGTTATAAAAGCATCTGTGATGATTTTTAAGATGTGCATGTAGGAATTGATTGTGACATAAAATGAAAATGATGGCAAGCCTGCCTGTCTGGAATTTCATCCCTGTAAGAACCATAGTTAGTTCATTCAGTAAGCACCTGTGTGGAGCCCCCATCTTTCTTGGCTTTCATGGAGCCGAGAAAGATACCCTTTCTGCCCTTTCCTCCTGTCTAGATATCAATTTTTTTGAAAGAGCAAATTAATTTAGTGATTTTTCTCTCTAAACTGTTATAGTATATTACACTCATTATTCATAAATATTGAAGTGCATTCCTTTAAAATATATGTAAGTCAGAAAGATTTGGGCTTGCCTAAAAGACAAGGAAAGATAAGAAATACTAATTTGAAGAACAGCTTTTAAAAGAATTAATTTGTGATGCTTATATATTTCAGGTTCCTACAAACTTGATGACTTTTGAGTAAAAGCCTGAAGAGGAAGAAGTGGAGCTCTGCTCCTGGGTAAGAGCTGGGGCCTGACGGAAAATGCCAGCGGCAAACCATCCTGTGCCAGGAAGAGCCCACAGGCTCCATCCCAGCCTTTGGAATGCTGAACCAAAAAGCACTCATTTCAGGGAATAAAGTGAGATATTCCCAGAGAACAAATTGGAGTTGCAAAACAAACTGCCATGAACCATGCTTCTTATCTCTGAACTGACCTGTGGAAACCACTGCCTTAAAAGAGTGAAAGGAAAACCAACATGAAACACCAAATAGTGTGTGTGAATCTTCTGGCGGTGCTGTGCTTGGGATAGATCATAGCTAATTTCCATTTCTTTTAACTTTGTACTAATTTTGGAGGGGGGAATCATCTTTTTTTTAAGATACACTTTGAAAAGGAACATGTTTCTTGTGGATGGTACCAGGAGCTGGTTTTGAATGTGGTGATACTCAGATACTTCAATTTCGCGGGATTTTACCAGCAGCCCACCTGCAAGGTTTGTTCAGCCTCCAGTAGTCCATATCCTCACTGGTTTTCTCTCACAGCAAGAATGTAGGATTAGAAATGTTGATAATGAAAGTTGTTGGGTTTGTTTGGGATGGGGGAGGAAGGGCTGGTTTTGGTTGAGGGGAGATCTTTTTAAACACTAAGCTTCTGAATTGAGTACTGTATGGGGAACAATATTTCCTGCAGGAGGCACAAAGCCCAAGTGTTCATATACCAGTTCTTTAAAATAGGTTCTAGAAAACATGGTTGTTTCTAACTGGGTTTCATGTTCAACTTTCTGTATGAATTCAATGTTGAATGATAGATCTGCTTAGTAAAGAACTGTAATCTCAGACTTTCCTGAGAAGGATTTTACAATGACTAAATTTTTTTTCAAGCTAATTGAATTATCCCTCTCCCAGTTTCAGGGAGTCATCAAGGGTGATAATATTGATATTTTGCCAGGATATTTTCTTTTACAGTGTTTAATGTGCATAATGCCAGAGTTATTTTTTTATTGTTTGTTTTGTTTTTGTTCAGTATAATATTCAAGATCATATTTGTTTAAAAGATTCCTCATAAATATGTATGTATTTTATCATAAGACAGTAATTTTAAGAGGGATAAAAGACAAGTTTGAGGATCTAGGAATTTTAAGTATTAAACCTTTCTTCCTTTTATGACTTACCTTAAACATACCAAAACATTTTTCTAAAAACTGAACTATAAGTCCTTGACGTGAACCTATATTGTCAGTAGTTAACCAAGAAGTTTTGAGAGAACTCTTCTATGCAACAATGCATCCACTTTCTAAAATAAATGTCAAATTTAGAAGTTAAAAGGTGTGATACCGTAGAATTTTAACAAAAAAAAATTGCACCTGAACAAAACTGTCAGATGTTACAAACTCATGAGACATCATAAATTTTAGCAGTGGTCCAGAGTAAGAAATGTTTTTTGACTGATACCTCCTAATTGACTTATTACTTTGGGCCTCATATAAAATTTCTCACATTTATCTTCTTAGCAAATTGTATAAATTTTATTGCAAGTTTCGCCCTCAAGTCCAAAAAATATTGTGTATACAAATAATAAGCTTAAAATGTATCCAAAGGAAAGTAAAAGAACTTTTTCTGAGTGTTAAATTTAATTTCATTTTGTGTTTGGAAAAGATGTTAACCGTTCAGATAGATTTCTCATATAATAGTTAGAAATACATTTTTTCTGGGTTGTAGTGACACAGGCTGGAGAGGGCAGAGTGTTGCCTGTGCTGAATGATTTTTCAGTTAATGATCTAAGCTTAACCCACGTTGGGTGCCTAAAAACACCTGCATAGCCAGCAGTATTACTATGTAGACCTTGCACGTCTTACTTCTGTTTTGCATTTTTTTATAAATTTCTTATTTTGTTTATTTCTCTTCAGAATAACATTTTTAGCAGTGTATGTGCTTTCCAAAAAATATTGTGAATAAGAACCCTGTGGATTTTTTTATTATTTTGTCTGTCATAAATAAGCTAAGGGTAGGTATGTTGTAGGTTAACCATATCTGGGAGATATGCAACTGGAAGTCAGAGCCTGACATCTCACAGTTTTGCCAAAGAGAGCAAACTAAGTTGGAAGATGTGTTTGATATTTTCAGCTCTAAACATTAATGAGTGCTTGTACAGAGTAAGAATAGTGTTCACATTTGGGTAACAGTCCATAGACAGAGTTGTGGCCTCTGACTGTCTGAAATTTAACCTAACAGTACAGTAGAAATTGTTATTATCTTTCTATCTTCAGATTTGTCTATTCAAAAGATTACTCGTTTCTTTTTAAGATTATTCGTAGCATTTTAAGTAAATTGAAATCGGTGGGAAATGAATTACAGTAGTGTAGGTGAGTTTTTGACCTGTCATTCACAAAATATCATCTGGCTATAATTCAAACAAAGAAAATATAAGTCACCAATCAATATTGAATATTTAGGTAGTTTGTTAGTAGGAAGATAAATCTTATCAAACCTGCCCTTGATTGTAAATCAGTGATCCAAAAACTCAAAATTTTCATCAGCATTAAACTCATTTTTTACCGTAGGCAAGAAACTCAGTTATTATTTAAATTTAAGCTGATGCATAAGCATAGTGATTGGCATATCAGTGGCATGAGGTAATAGTATACAGAACTAGCCACAATATAATTTGAGGCACATCTCATGTAACAACTTATTTGAACACGGAAGCTTATTTTCTATATGAAAGTAACATATCGGTTTTTAAAATGTAACTATAAAACCATCACCTAATGGTCTTCTGGGCACTGTTTTTGGTTTCATGTATCTTCTGTGTTCAGACTTTGCTTATTTTTGATAGTGTTATTTTTAAAACTGTAAGAATTGAAAGACAAATGATCAAACACACCTTCCTATTCTGTTTTCTTCACTGTGTAAATATTATTTGTACAAGCATTACAAAAAGGGATCCAAACAATTTGAGTTGGAGTGTTTTTTCTCCCTAGGCATGTGCTTCAATGGCAAATATTTGTCTGTGTGAAAAATGCCATATAATTACTGCACTGCCTCTTTACGGGCTGTATTGGTATTGGGTATTTCTGTATATCAACTCACAGTGTTTATAGCTGCAAAGTTTTTATAAACAGCTTTTTTTCCTCTTCTAGAAGATTCATAAGGGAGCTCAAAAAGACCTATTGCTATAGAGAGTAAAAAAGAGTAGTCTCTAGTAGATCTGTTAGTTGAACCTGGGGCCCTCTAAAATTAGCAGCCTATCATTCTCTTAAAATCATTAGAGTTTACTTGGGCAAATGTTTAGCATCTGTCTTTTTTTCCCTAAGGTTAAATCTGTACTGCTGTATTACTGAAGGACATCATATTAGGAAATCATTACTAGTAATAGATTTAATCCATTGGCTTTTTAGAATAGCATATCAATTATTGATTTCCTTGTTTTTTGAGGCACATTCTTTTACAACCAGGTTTTAAACCACTRTATTATTTTCTTCTGCAAGCACGGGGTGCCAGTGTTACTTAAAAGGAGATAATCTTTAATAAAAAGAAACCCTCTATCTCAAAGGTCTTTGAAATGATTGGATCCCTTTTTGAAAATGAAGGTTATTTCCCCGCTGTGCTGGTGGAATAGGAGTGCTACTGTTGTGTGAGGAAGCAGTGAGGTTTGTCTGACTTCCTTCAGTGACCTTTTAGGGTTTGCTTTTGTTTTTCTCTCTTTTTTCTTTACTTCTTTCAAAATTAGTAAATTTATGATTTTACAGCCAGCGTGTATTCTGTTTTTTCTAAGCCTTTGAGATAACAAAAATTGCTGCTAAATCACATTGATGATAAATGACACATTGATGATAAATGTGGACCTTTTCAAAATGATTTAAGTACCTTTTGATTTTGTTCTCCTAAAAATGGCTTGTGTCTAAAGTGAGTTTTTTTTTTCTATTTAGAGGGTTCTAATGAAAGAGAATTGTGCATAAAACTTTTAAGCTTATTGAAACCAATTGCATTATACCTTATCTCAAGTTGTAATATGGTAAAATTTTGGTCAGTGCCTTATCAATTTGAAGACCATTCTTAGGGCATTGAGTACAATTTGCCCTCTTAGTTCAGGAGCATACTCTCCACCATCTTAATCTTACAGCAAGTCTAAGGATGTCTGTGCAGATCCTCCAGGTGCTTGTTGCAGTCCTCCTTGGGTTTTGAGTCTTTTTTATACAACTTCCTCCCTGCTTCTCTCCTTTCCAGGTAGGAGAATGAAAATAAATCCACTCAAATCAATCTTTTGATAAGCACTCCTAAAAAAAACAGCTTTGAAGAACATCCATCCAGCTGGGTTCATTTTTTTCTCTTGTTTGAGCATAGAGTTAATAATAATCAGCCCCTCTTGGAAATCCCTAAAATAATAAATATCCAGGAAGATTAATTTGGTTTTTATTAAAGCTACTAGAATCTTGTAAGCACAGTTCCTATGGCCAGAAATGAGATTTTATTTGCTTCATCTTTATATTTAAATAAGACTCGGAATGAACAAGCAGTCACTTAACCTACCAGATATGGCTTACCTGAAAATATTTGTGCAGCACAGTGAAAAGGACTCCAGTGTATAGACATTTAGAGACAAACCTAGCTTTCTCAGTGAACGCAAATCTCAGAAATACTTTTGTTTCTCTGAGATTATTAGAAGACCTGGAGCACTGTTGTTTACCTGTGTCAGGATGCTCTTTTTTACAGTTTTTAAAGGGCTATTATGTTCTAGAGTAGCAAAGTAGATAAACATAGTATTTAAACCTAAATGAAAGGGTAATTGGTCCTAGAGGGTTATTAGCAGAATTTAAATTTTGATTCTAGCCATTTGAACTGCAAAGCAATGATGGGGTTAAAAGAATATGTAGAGTGCTTTGGGATGCAACTTTTTTTTTTCCTTAATAGAAAAGAAGAAAACTTCATAAATATTAGCTGTGCTTTAGATGCCAAGTAACAAATATTGCCTCCCTTGAAGATACCCCCCATTAGAATGACTCCCATATGTAGTCCAATAATTATTGATTTAATAGGTATGACTGTAAAATAGCTGACTTATTAGTCACCAAATTCTCAGTATTTTCTCACCTTTATTATTGGCATTCATTGCGGGGATCTGGTTCCCAACATATTCTAAAAGAGATCAAACATCTGTGGGAATAAATACCCAGTGATGATAATATTCAGGAAAACACAAGCCATTTTTTTTTCTTCTTTATCCCAGTTAACTTGAGGTACTCTAATGAAGCATTCAATTGCATTATGACCTCCTTGAGTGATGTGCAACTTGGTTCCTCTCTCTTTTTGTTTCTTTTTAATATGCAAATGTGAGTGTGTGATCTTCAGTGTGTTTGCATAAGCTAATTTAAAATGAATTTAAGAACAGTTTTCTGAAATATTTCTATTGAAATAAATGACTTAAAAGTATTGATTGTGTAAGAATGGTTTGTTACCATATTTGCAGTTCTATCACTAACTATTTTATCAAATCCAAATCAATTTTAAATTGATTTTTCCCCTTTTCAAAAGTAACCTCATTGAGGGCTGGGGATGTGGCTCAAGCGGTAGCGCGCTCGCCTGGCATGCGTGCGGCCCGGGTTCGATCCTCAGCACCACATACCAACAAAGATGTTGTGTCCGCCGAGAACTAAAAAATAAATATTAAAAATTCTCTCTCTCTCTCCCTCTCCTCTCTCACTCTCTCTTTAAAAAAAAAAAAAAAAAAAAGTAACCTCAATGATTGTTGGTCCAAGGCAAGTTCTGTGTAGATTTTAGTTGCTCTTTCCCAGCCCAGAATGAGGGTACACCATGTCATGTAGACCAAGGGGGTCTTAGAGAATAGAAGGCAAGTGTGTGTAGTATTTCCAACTGCCTCCCTACTGTGGATCTGTAATATGAGCAGCCCACAAAAGGCCTCTTTGCTGATTCTCTGTTCCATAGGTTATGCAACACATTGTTTCATTTTACTGTTTTGGAAAACAGAATCCATTGTCCAGCCTTTGGCACTTTCAGTCAGAAG